TCACCGAGTAAGCGAAGGCGACTATCGCGGCTGCGAGTCACGTAAATCGCGACTCGAGGAATCGCGCGGATGTCGCAATCGCGGTAATATTTGTCCCCGCGCGCGCGATAGGATAACAGAGGAGACCCGGGTGGATGGGGTGGGGTGGAGGAAGATGGGAGAACGAAAAGAGAAACAAGAGGCGCGGGTTGCACCGTGACGGAATCCCGGCAGCGAGTGCGATTTCGCCGACCGGACATGTATATCCTTGAGCGCTGATTCAGCGGAATGCTTCTCTAATCGATCCGTATCTCTCGGCTTTTTGCGCGCGGCAAGAGTAGCCTAGATGAAGACGGGGAAGAAGGAATTGGAAAGAAAGAGAGACGTAAAACGTGTTTTATTAAAACGTTGATACGTTTCGAAGAATAAGATGGTTACGAACGCATATCACAACTTTGATATTTTGTAAGAAACGAACAAATTCCACGCGATTGTGGAAGCAATTATTAATGGAATAAAAAATAATAATTATATGTTCCAAACCATCATGGTTAATAAGAAACTACTACTGTGCAAAAGAGATGACACCGAACTATCTTATCGAGAAAAGCCATAAGAACCGATCCGAGCTCGGTGAAACGCGTAACCGTAGGTTGGCAGCGGTCGGGAGTAAAAATACTTTTTACATTTTACTTGAAAATAATTGACAATACGAGAATGATTAAAAATAAAGAGAGAGAAGGGAGGGGAAACTAGGAGACGCGAATAATCTTGCCGGTCGCGACGAGCTAAAGTCAGTCGTCGGTCCGTCTTTGCGGAAACGCGCGATATCCTCGCAAAGTACGCGGAAGAAGAAGAAGAAGAAGAAGAAGGAGACGGGGAATAAAGATAGTTAAACGCGTTGGAGACGACTTTGGCCGAGGCCGGCCGAGGCCGACCGAGGCCGAATCCGCGGACCACAGTCTCCGAAACGCGCAGCGGTATTCGCGAGCGAATGCGCGCTTGTTTCGCATCGTTCCTTTTGTACCTCGCGCGGCGTGGCGCGGCGCGGCGCGGCGTGACTACTCCGTCGCGTTGATTACGCAACGCGTGGCCATGAGAGCGACTCGCGCTCGCGAGAATGCGGCGCGCGCGCGCGCGCACATGGCGCGGGATTGGCGCGATTATCGATATCTCGTCACGTTCGACAACAACAACAAATCGGAAGACGCGTCCAAGCTCGTGGATTCGGCCGCGATTGGTTATCGTCCGGCGTAATAAAAATATCTTTTTCATCGAGCAACATGAAATATGTACGTTGCTCGTAGCGTCGCGAGTTTTAAAACTCGTCAGTTACGTAATATTTCTCGCACTTGTTACCACGCGCGGCGATTTTTCGCGATCGATGTTTACGTAGATTGAAAGAGGGTTGTGCGCGCCGGGAGATGCGCCACGCGTATCGACTCGGCGCATCGGTTGAGAATCGCTGATGCAGCGCAAACGCGCGAGGTTCGTTATGCGCGCGTGCACGCGCACGCGTGTAGGCGTGCGTGCATGGCGACTTGACGCGATGATGACTCGTAGGATGAACGTGCAAAGGCGTACGTCTCCACCGGAGATTTATGCGTAGCCGATATTGGGAAGCGGGAACAGCCCGTTTCAACGTGTTATATAAATGGACGCGCGCAATGTCAACGGGAAATATCGCGGTTGTGAAATGCGGGAAAACAGCTTTCGACCGCTTGTTTCCACGCTCGTGAATAATAGTTTACACGCTGCTGCAGGCGAGGAAATAACAAGCGTTTTTCCTTTTTCTTTTTGTCCCTCGATCGAATTCGCGGAAAATGAATTAATCGACCAATAACCATCGGGCGGGATCGTATTTGCATACTCACGTGGATAATCGTGTGCCAATTATGGCGCGACTTTTATTTATGTCATTTCAACACGCGAATCAAATATTTTGCTGGAAACTTTGATATCGGAATCGGTAACGCGAGGATAAAGACTGACATTGATTGAATCGTTTCTATCGAAATGTACAGAAATTGAAAAACATAATTTTAATTCAAATTACAAAATAATTATAAATCACATAAAATTACATAAATAACTGTAACTAATAATAACTAAATAATTGTTATTTTAATCGACTTGATAATTTTAATTATCATTAAATGAGTGTCGAATTTAATCTTTGCGGCGCCATCGTTGAATCCATATACCTTGGGGTTTTCCTGCACACGTACATACACCTGCACGCGCGCGCGTGTTTCGTGAAAAAAAGGAGAAAAAGGCCGCGCTCATCGTCATGTGAGTATCGAAGCGACTAAGTAAACACGAGAACGAGAGAGCCTTCGATATTCGGAGGTGCCGGTTTTTTTATCCGTGTGCGCCGCGTTTCGGAGAACGCAGTTGTGTACACTGTCATGGTCTTCATTTATGCCTGCCAGCGAGTCCTCCTCGCGTCAGATTCCTTCTCTTCCTAAAATCAAGACATCGACACTCTTACGATAGCGGTTGCATCGAATAAAGAAATGGACAAAACTCGTTTTTGCGTTTGTGTGTGTGTATGTGTCGTAATAGGCTTGGTATAAAAAAAAGTAAAACATGGATGGATATTATTATCGAGCTTTTTTTTAAACATTAAACATTATCAATTATGTCATTGACAATGCTGCATCTTGGAAACTCGAACTTTAAATGCTCTTGAAAACGTAAGGTTTATCAAAGAGAGGATTCCAAAAAGAACTTAATCTGACTACGATGACATATATATGTACGAGAGCTCGTGACGTAAAATTGGTTTATGTTAAATTTGCGAGGCTTACATTATCGATTAGTCCTTGTCGTGGAGTTTATTTCCGTCTCTGTTTTTCGCTCGCAAAATCAAATTTCGGATAACGCGAAAATCAATTTGCCGCATGAGCGATCGAACGGAATAATGCACCTATTTATTCCTTATTACGTATCTTGCTGGATTTTATGTTACTAATCGCTCATGCGACAAATTGATTTTCAAGTCATCGCGAGCGAAAAAAGAGGATTGATATTTCGAATCGAGCATCGGGAGAGGAGCAGCAGGCTAACGATGCATCAATTTTGGAAAAAAAATTTTGTCGTACGCAATTTTCTCTTGACGTCACGCTATTACATTTACAAAATTTTTTAAACATATCGATTGGCTGTAGAATAAAAAGTTTCTAAAGATTAAAAAGATTGCTATCCCGCAGCCAATCAGTGTGCTTAAAAAATTTGTCGTACGACGATTTTTGGAATCCTCTCTTTGATAAATTACATTTTCAAGAGCATTTCAGGCTCTCGAATTTCCAAGATATAGCATTGTCAATGATATAATTGATAATGTTTAATGTTAAAAAAAGCTCGATATTAATATTCATCCATGTTTTACTTTTTTTTTATACCAAGTCTATATTACGACACACACAAACGTACGACAAATTTTTTAAGATTGGCTGCGGAATAGAACATTTCGAAAGGTTAAAAAAATTATTATCGGCTTAAAATTGAAGAAATATCATCCATCGTAGAAATCGTTAATTCGATTCATGGAGGTATCGCGAGCATCCTTCTACGTGCGTTGCAACGCGATCGTCTCGTTACGCGCTCGGCCGCGTAATACGATCTCGCCCTGGACGTTTTCCGCTTTCGCGGGCTAATTAATCCCCCCCCCCCCCCTCGAATGTTGTAACGTAATTCAACGTTCTCGATGGAGTCGTCGATCGCGATCGTTAAAGGTCGACTTGTCCCTCCCTCTCCCTTCTCTTCCTCCTCCTCCTCCTTCTTCTCCTTTCTCTCTTTCTCTCTCTCTCGAGCGCCGCCTTACTTTACCTCGCCTCGCCATGGTGTCGGCTGCCATTCATCGCGAAAACCGTACGTACATTCGCGCTCTGGTCACCGACAAGGTCGCGCAAGGTCGCGCAACCATCCTGCATCCATACACCACGTGCAACGGTGCGTGTGCGCGTGTGATTCAGGTGGAAATTGAGGAAACTGAGACTTTCAATTGCGACGATTCGATAATAATTGTCATGTTCAGTTATTTTCTCTCTTACCTTTGGATTAAATTGATTTCTAACAGACCTCCGACATTCTTTCCCATTCTTTTACTCCTTGGATTAAAAGTTTGCCGCTTTATATTGGTTACCTCGTACATGCAACCGTCTACATATATCACGTAACGTGATTTGCGCGCGAAAGCGGGTCCCGGTATCGATCCGAATGCGTAGAAAATGCTATTGATTCTCTCGGCCGACCTCTTTCCTCCATGGCGACGATCCGAGAGGAGAACCTCTTCTCTTTTGATCGTTATTTTCGTTTTTTCATATAGCACGATATTACAAAAATATTTCGATCGTAGATAAAAAATATACCAAATAAATAAATTTTTTTAAATTGCAAATATATTTCATTGTATTGCGTGCAATATTAATTGACAATTATTTAAGAAAGAAAGAAAATTTTTAAATTCTAATAACGAAAATGACAACGACGCAATATTTTATCCTAGTGAAACGTCTTTCGACAATTGTTTTTTTCTCGTAGACATGATATATCACGTACCTGATGACGTTATTGTGATTGGAAGGGGTGAGAAAAGAGAATTGCACAAAAGACACACACGAACCGAATGAATCGCCTATTCGACGTCTGTCTATGTTCTCTCGAATCGTACATCCACCTCTATCCTCCATCATCTTGTCCTTTCCTCAGAATCGTCTTTGTAGCTTTTGATGTCAAGACATCTACTTTCTAGCTTTTATATATTTAACATGTAAAATGTTTTCGAAGTATATTATTCTTAACGCTTAATATTAACAAATAAATTATATTAATAAATTATTTTATTTTAAATTTGATTCGTAAATATATTTATACAATTTATCTTGAAAATGCTCGCGTTAATTTACGAGATAAAGTTTTGTTTGAATCACAATTAAGATTAAAAAAACATTTAAATTAAAAAAAAAAGGATACATTGCTTTATTATGATACTAATCATCGCCATGATCCCATTGCAGGTCACGAGTAAGCCGGACACGATAATTCTTGGCCGATGAAGAGCAGAGCAGCACGAGGACGAGTAGTAGAAGGAGCAGCAGCACGAGCAAGAGCGAGTGGCTTCGTCATCGTAGAAGGTGGTGGCGCCGTGGAGAAGCAAAAGAAGAAACGAGGACGAAGTGGCGGCAGCAGAGGCAACGACGACAATAGGGCGACAAGCAGCCAGGTCCCTCCATGTTAGCGGATATCAACGGCAACCTGGCGGATTTGAGAAGCGAAGCGATGGCGTCGCAGAGGTTCTGTTTGCGCTGGAACAATCACCAGAGCAATCTGCTTTCCGTCTTCGACCAGCTGTTGCACGACGAGTCTTTCGTCGACGTCACGCTGGCCGTTGAGGGCCAATTACTCAGGGCGCATAAGATGGTGCTGTCGGCATGTAGCCCCTATTTTCAGGTAAACTCGATATCTTTTACGCGCCTATTTTTTATTAAAATTAGCATTGAAACGAAGCAGTGACAGCGCGAGAAATTGCCGGAAGTTATTTATAATTTTGTAATAAAGAGTCAGCAAAAATTCAACAAATTATAATTGTATTGACATTAATATTGATGTAATTGTTTTTTAATTTTTAATTGATATCATAAATATCATTATTTGTAGGCCTTGTTTGTTGGCCATCCCGATAAGCACCCGATAGTCATTCTCAAGGATGTTCCGTACGTGGACATGCGCAGCCTTCTGGACTTTATGTACCGCGGCGAGGTAAGCGTCGACCAAGACCGATTGACCGCCTTTCTACGAGTCGCCGAGTCCCTAAGGATAAAAGGCCTGACCGAGGTGAACGAGGACAAATGCGATCTACCGAGTATCACATCCTCGTTATTGGGTGGCGGTCAGAACGCGGTGGCGCCGCCACCGCCCAATCTCCATCGAATCAACCAAATTGGTCAGCATCATCATCATGTCGCGCAAAAGAGGTTCCACCATATGTCTAGCCATCCATTACTCGGTTCTGCGCTTACAGCGCCCAAGAGAAAACGCGGTAGACCCAGGAAATTGAGCGGTTCGTCGGACACGCCGATTGGTGAAGTCGGCGGCCAAGATTTACAATCGTGTTCGGGCGCCGATCTGATTCAAGGTTCACCCGAAATGATGGAAATGAAGATGGGACTGGATTTTCAAAGCGAGGTCAGCGGCAACGGTAACATCAGGAGTGGTACCAACACCACCAACAGCGTTGGTGCCGCGGCGACCGCTAGTAATTCCGCCGCTAGTACAGGATCCTCAGGATCGTCGTCGGCGAGGAGAGACGAACCTACGGAGAATGGCACCGATACGCCGGAGCCGCCCATCACGCGGGTTAAACGGGAACCAGAACCAACGCCCAGCACCTCGGCGCAAGGTAAGAAGCGGAACAAACGTGACATACGTGATATGAGATTGAAGAAGAAAAAAAAAAGAAAACTCAAACTGATTCGTCATTGTTGATTTTAGCCTCGGATGAGACATTCGCGCGGCCGCACAGTAGACAAGGGAGTGAAGGTTTCAAGCAAGGTAAGAGCGTACTTGATTTGGATATAGAAGGGTTGCATTGCTAATAATTCCCGATACAACGCAAGTGGTGGTTTAAGTCCTCATGCAATTTTCGTAAACGAGCGTTCCAAGGATATTGTAATACAATATCTTTCTCAAACAAAAAACCTAGCACGTTTGGAAATTGTAATTAAATGATCAGTTGTATTTTCGTGCGCAATTGACATTTTATAATTAATAGTATAGTTTTTATAACAAATATTAACTGAGATTAACTCCTTTAGATTTGACTTTTTTTCTACATGATGTAGACTTTTACATATTTATAAACTTAATTATTTTATATTATTATGGATACGCACATGAATAATCTACAGATTAAACATATAGAGATTTTTGTGAAATTGAGAAATTTTCTCTCTTCAATTTTAAAAAATCAAAGTTTCTGCACACGCAAATCAGACGGAGTTAATTCTCGCTAATTCTTGAATGGGCGCAATAGAGTTGCATAGAAGATATTTCCGGTTGTACTCTTGTAATTATAATCGTTGATTTTGAGAATGCACTCGCGAAAATTACACAAGGTAAGTCGCAAGGTGTAGCACAGAATGCAACATGCGCCTAAAAGTTAAATCGTGTTTAAAAAAAAAATCACAGTAGTTATATACGCGGTTGCAAACACTCGCAATAATAATGCAGAGTGAAATCGCGCATTTAATCGCGACACCCTACCAAATATGTCTTAGCATGGTGTGAATTGTGATTCCCATAACGCGCGAGCTCGGAGAAGAATGTTTAGATTGTGACAATATATATATATTTACATGTTGAATTTAAATCCAACAAACTAATTACATAATTAACTGCTTTATCAATAATGGCAATTTTTAAATATTAAATTAAGAAAATATTAAATGTCAATTAAATCTTGATAATGTTAAAATTACGATTGTGTCGCGTTAAACATTCTTCTGCGTGCGAACCCGAAAGACGGGGAAGAACTCGCTTTTGTGACGTCCGAATGCTTATTCGTCTCTTGTGAAGCCCCGAGGAGCAAGCAAGCAAGCGAACCTTGCGCGGCATTATGGACGACGCTGTAGACTCTCTACGTGAGAACGACTCTTACGGCTCTCTCGCACGATTCGTCGAGGTCGATCGACGACGTCTGAGAATCACAAAATCTTAAAAGCCCATCCGCGAGGGCGATTGATAACTTTACTAGCAAAGTTTCGAGACTCGCGCGTCGCGATGACGCTAGCTAGCGCGAATCCTTTTATCACGCACGTCGTCGACGTGTTTTATCCTTATGTGCTAATGAATTTGACTTTTCAGACTTTTCTCGAGCTGCCTTGCCGCGGCTCATTGTCGCTCTTCTGCAAGCGCGCTCCTTTCTTTTTTTTTTCTTTTTTTTTTTTTTTAAGGAGTTGAGCAGGACTCGCGATGACATAAATGTCGAATCGCGCGCGCGATTATTTTCTAAAATTGTAATTCCGCGCTTTGAAATTCTTTCGCAAACTTGATCCATTTTCGAAACAAAACGCACACAAAAAAAAGTAAAAAGAAAACAATTCCGATGCGAGAGAAAATTCTGCGTCTGGAAAAGCTTGCATCTTTGAGAAAAAAAAAGTAGTAAAGCAATTTTCCGACGAGATAAAACAACAGTAAAATAATTTTCTTCTTGAGCTATAAACAAACAGCATGCCAAACGATAGTCGCACGTGGGATACGTATATCGATACGCGCGCGGGATGACATTCAAATTGCGAGAAGAAAAATCGAAAGACACAGAAGATATAATACAAATAAACGAAGACACACACATGTAGAAAAGAGAAAGAGAGAGAGAGAGTCTGCGAGAGAAACAGTCGTCTCGTTAAAGAGAGTTCGTGTGTTCGGAACGTTCCATGATACCCTGGAAGAAGGAAAAATCGTAAAGAAAACTCCCTTCTGTACGCCCGAACTTCTCTCTTTGATATCAATTAATCTTTGAAGCCCATTGCACTTGCCACCGGTTTTTGTTCTCGTCAAAGACGTACATGATGAAAAAAGAAATATATATATATATATATATATATGCACACACATATATATATATATATATTTTAAATACATATATACGTAATAACCCATACGTAATTCTCACGCTCGGCCAATGCGCAGCGCGTCTCATTCCTATCCTTTTTTCTCCTTCATTTCTTCAGGATACGAATCGATCACCCCTTCATCTTATCTCTCTATGATCAAACTGTGTCTATTCTTTGCCGCACCGCACCTATCGCTCTGTTGGATGTCTCTCTCGAATCTATCCCCCGATCCTGATTTAACTCGACCGAATTTAATCTGCGACTATCGACACTTCTCCGCTAACATCCTCACCTGTACCATCATATTCTCTCTTCCGCACGAATGAGAAACGCTTCGCTGCCATTGGCCAATAGTAACAGGAGGGGGTGGAGCCAGCTTTTAGCGGTGCTTACTTTTTTTTGTTGTTGTCTGATTTTCACACCTTGAACGCTGGTTAATTTCTTTTACGCTCGTTCGTTGCGAGGAAGATAGAATAGCAAAATCTCATTTTTTATCGCGGAAAGACAGACAGCAAAGAGGGAGAGAAGAGCGTAAATGATGATGACGATGATGATGATGATGATAATGATGATAATGATGATGATGATGATGATGATAAAGTATATTATGCTTAAATAACAGACGACATATCGTCGGCAGGTTTATCGTTTCCGTCTTCTCTTGCGTTCTTCTCGTTACTTTATTAGACGATAATGACGACATTGAAAAAAAAGATGACTAGCAAAAGGAGAAAAATAGAAAACGGGATAGAGATATAAAAATTAAAAAAAAAGTGACAAACCGAAAGAAGGAAATCGGAGGAGAGAGAAAGAGAAATAGTGTGACGTACGTTTCTTTTTTTCCTTTCTATAAAAATGTACTACTACATATACGTGCGCGCGCGCGAACGAGTGCTTTGAAGAGAGAAATGTCGTCGAAGATGATCTCGTTTCGGTAGTGACCGTGATCGCTTTGTTCACTTTTGGTGCAGGTGAGTTGAGATTATCTGAGTCACCATCATTCGATCTCTGAAAGATTTAAGCTTTTGCGCGGGGAAGCGAGGGAACTAGGGAGGCCAGCCGCTAAAAAAAGAGATTTCTAAAAGAATCGAAGTCAAAGTCATAAATAGATAGATCGAACGAAAAGACGGAATTGTTTCGAAAAGTGCCGGAGTGTAAGAGAAAGCCGGATATAGAAGGATGTGACGCCGGAAGCCGAAAGCGGATTAACGACGTATATGTATATACATATACATATATGTACAATAGAAGTAATTACACATATATATATATTTGAGAAACAACTTATATAAAGTAATTTAATAAAACATACAAGGAAGAGAAAATGTTGCTTTTTTCTCGAGCGTCCTCGATCTCGATGGATCGTTTTCCCGTAGAGATGGATACTTGCAGACTGACTGGACGCACTGGACGGAGGGGTTGGTAAAGTGTGCACATGTGTCGCGCTAGGTGTCTATTAATCAGTTCGCATACGATGATCGCCTGGTGCATATACGGCTTGTCCAAACGAGGACAATCCTTCCTACCGATCTCGTAGATTCCACAAATGGAAAATGCTCTTCTTCGACAAATTTTATGTTCTCTGAATAAATTGAGAGACTCTTAATTCTTGTAAAATCTTAATTTTTATCAATTCTCTCGAATTTGCATAATTTGCTTAATCGCGATCGCATTTGTTCGAATGTCATGTCGAAACATTGATAGTTTCGAATTACGAGCGATCAAAATTAATCAATCGAGCGCTTCTCGCTGAGCGACATCTCTTGCTCGATCGATTTTAATCGCTCGACTTGACTCGATATTCGAACAAATTCGGAATATTTTTATTTTCGGAATCTACGATCGAACGGAAGTATAGTCTCGCACGACACCCCGCGTATGTATGATTTTCTAAAGGCTTGTACGTGTGTTTGCAGGCGCGTGTGAAATGTGTAAATGAGAAGAAGCGCGAATGTACGGGTGTGTGATGGATATTCAAGGGAAAAAGATACAAAAGAGTACGCGTGTGTGAAAGAAAAAAAAAATGGAATGCCAGAACTTTGGGAGAAAGAGAGAAAAGCTGATGTTGTGCTGAGAATTGCAGTTTTGCAACTTGTCGAGAGAGAAAGAAAATGTATGAAAGTGGAAGAATCTAAAGGGGAATAGACGCGGGGGCGGGGACGACATGGAGAAGGCGTATCGCAACGTAGTAAAGTTATTCTTTAACGCGGGACAGAAGTTGACTGAGACGGCCGAGATTCAAATACGGTGACTCTTTTTTGCTGGCTCTACCCTTCCTCTTGCTTCCCCCCACAAATATAGAAATATGTTGTGTCAATACAATATATACATACACAGAGATACATAGTCACGATGTGCGATAGAACTCCGTTTATCAGAATATCCGTGAAAGAGTCTGCGCAGCGGAAATTTGTGCAACAATATTCTTATCTATGTGTGAGATGGTTTGGAAGACACGATTTTTAATGAGAAGTCAAGGGTGTGACTAGCGACGACCAAGATTTTTCGTACCAAGAAATCTAAAATACTAATTGGAAGACGAATAACACACCAAATACATCTGAAATATTATTCATCAGTGGCATTTTTTGAGAGCTTATACTTAACAAGAATTTGGTTTTCTGATAAACGAACTCCTACTGCACATCCAAATGCTTGCACGATATATATTACGCGCGCGGGTACACGTAGGGCGATTTAAAGGATCGAGATTTCTTTATTTCAGAATTAGAAGAGACCTCGAGCGGTGGCGATAGCGGCGAGCCGCCGACTCATATCCGCATCAACTTTGAGCGATGCTTTCGCAAGGAATTCAGCACGTCGACGCTGCAAGGTAAGGCCGCGTCGACCGCCGCGGCGATGTCAATGATCGAAGATCAGCAACAGCAACACTCGGACACCGAATTGGAAACGAAGACGAAGGACATAAGCAGTGCCATATTCAGTGCGATGGCCGGCGAGGCGGAAATCAGTCAGAGCGACTTTGAAGGCTCGTTCAAGGTTGAGAACGAGCGCACGGAAGGCTCGGTGCGAGACTTTTGCGTAAAGGAGGGCGACGTTTATCGCTGCACCGTATGTCATCGCACGTACACACACATCAGCAACTTCTGCCGACACTACGTCACCTCGCACAAGCCTAATGTCAAGTACTACGCCTGTCCGGTCTGCTCGAAAGAATTCACCAGAAAAGACAATATGGTCGCCCACGTGAAAATCATACATAGTCTTAAGCCGCACATGAGTCTCAATAGCAACAATGGTGGCAGTAGCAGTAGCAGCATGGGTCAGCCGCGGTAGACCGCTGCTGTCGGTTGGGCGTTCTCTCGTTCTGCCTCCTCCTTCGGGTCGTGTTTCCTGAGCCTCGCGCGACGATCCGCGCAAAATATTGCGATATTACGATAGATTTTCAACATTTTATACGATATATCAAGGTTCTTTTAAAAAGAATTTTGATATTCCCAGTGATTGATAGCGAGGACCTTAATAAGAAGATTCTAAAGTTTACAGCGTTGTAAGATTATAATACCAAATTATTAGATTATACCAAAAGAGAAACTCTATATATATATATATATAAGAACCAGCTATATTTGTGGAAAAACACCAAGGGAGATTCGCGTGGCTTGCCAAAAAAAAAGGCTAAAGGAAAGCGAAGCCAGGAAGGAGGAGGCAGATGAGGAAAATGCGAGGAAAGCGCCCGTCGAAGCGCCTCGAACAAGGTTAATGCGCTTTCGCGAATAGAAAGAGGAAGACAATATAATATATAGATATGTGTAAGCGATAGACAAATATAGGTAGACAAGTGACCGATCTTGTGAAATGGCTACAACGGAACGGTTAGAGAGAATATGCAGAGATGGGTACGCAAGATTTTAGCTACGGATATCATCGCCGCAGCACACATGTTTCTTTTCGATTTTTGCGCGAATGTTTTCACAAGAGAATCTTTCCGGTGCGTCAATTAACTTTTTGAGCGTTAATCATATCGAGGTTATGGTGAAACATTTTTATAAATTATATGTTTCACTGTCTGTTACATATCGTGCATATCATACGAGAGAAATCAGTTCGATATTCTGGTATCGATGCTCTGAAAGAATCAATCTTGAATATCATTGTATTTATAGACATTAAACACGTACGCTTTTCTACTTCCAAATTGCAAAATCTTTTTGGAAATGTTTTACAAGTACAATATTATCGCTCAAACAGTTGACGGAGCTACTCTATTGGATTGCACTGACGCTGCGTAACGTACGAAGTACGAGTCGCGGGTCTGACCAAGTCTAGTGCAACAAATTCGAGAAATTACCAAAATAACTTTTATAAATATTTAAATTAACGAGATGTATCGGCAAACTATCGATTGAATGTCGTTTTAACAATATTCTTGATACTTGATTCTTGATTCTTTGGTAGACAATTTTCGTTGCATCCTTTCTGAATTTCATCTCTGCTCCCAGTTCTGATCTTGGTTCCAGTAGGTTTAGCTGTCTTTATCAATCTCCGTGCCTTCGAAGACCCATAATGCGCACGATTCAGCAAGTCGCGTCACGCAACGTCTACCTTTTCTCAAAGAATCGCAATCGTAGCTCTAGCGACGCCGGAAATTTCAAAAGGACGAAAGGAAACTGTGCGCGCGTAACAAACAACGGGCATTAAAGTTACGAAACGAATGAGCTTTATTATCGCGCTCGCTTTAAGTAGAAAGAGCGAGGCGACTGTAAAAATGGGAGACAGAAGAGGCTTTGTACTATCGTAAATGTAAATGAAGAATTTATATAAATCTAATCGATACGCTCGTTTCAATGCGTCGTACAATGTGCGCGTACAGTTGTATGTAAAAGCAGTTGCAAGTAAAAAGGAGGGAAAGGCGCCGTATAAATCCAAATCAACGCAGAGACAGAAAGAGAGAGATAGAAAAAGTATATTTATTATCGCCTGACTATATATTAGGTTGCAAAGAAAGAGAGAGAGAGAGAGAGAGAATCAAACACGTCAGCTGTAATGCAGCTCGGCGACATTTTTACGAGAAGTGCGCGCGCGCGTCTCATCGAAAAAGATTACATAAGCTTGCAAACTTTACTCGTATTTTTCACAAACAAGGACTTTTGCGCATTCTTGATAAAATATAGTTTTAAACACTTGGTCCCGATAAATCTTAATGTACCTCGAAGTAATTTCCCGACAAAGAAAAATGGGACGAATACGCTATCATCACATGTAGCAGTACAAAAAAATTGCAAAGAAACTGAGAATTTTGGGAACAACACACCAATTATAATTATAATAGATTGTTAAATATATTTATCGGAATATATATTGAGAGAGCAACTCTCTCTCGACTGAACTAGTAAAAGACTTGAGAGATGAAAAGAGGAAAAGGAATCTGGGTGAAACGAGCGCGCGCACATGCAGTGTAAGTAATAAGGAAACTACGTAGACTGAGCAAATGCAATATATAAATATATATATGTATCGATGACCGTTCGCCATGTTGTTGTTGAGCCGTTTGAGTTGCAAAGATAATGTTACGAAAACATTTTTTAGGAGAAGCGGTGATGAAAAAAATGGGGCAGAGAAGTAAAAGGTACGGGAAGTGTAACAATTTCGCTAAAGATTGCGAAAGAGAGGGACGGTTTTAACGACACCAAATACAAGATAGTACTGACATTGGATAGACTGAAGGCACCTTAGTAATAACTTAACAACGCCGCCGCCATGTCGGACCGCTTGGTCTGTTTAGCTGATTTCACTCTTGAACAAACAAGTTCGCGAGAGGAACTTGGTCAATTGTATTGATGACTTGTATAAAAGATTCATCATTCGTATCGTAAGCTTTTAGACAGCTTGAAAAATCAATATATGTAATAATATATCATTGAAGAAAATTTCGAAACATTCTATCGAGAATATGATATAAAAATTAAGAAAAAAAAGAAAAAAATATATCGAATCGCGGAGATCTATCCAAATTACAATTTCAATTCAATTTTGTATTATAATTTCTTGAATTTTTTTTATTATATTGCAACTTATTTTTATAATATGTTTAATGGATTTATTTTAATGTAAAGACAAAATTTAGTATAATATCTATAAATTGTTATAACTTTTGTTTATTTATACATGTATACATATTGTTTATTATTCTTGAATTCTCAATCAAGTTTATCAGATTTGTTTACTAAAAGTTTCCATTTTCATAGCTTTTATGAATTTTATTCCGAGTGCAATAGTAGCTTCAAGTTAGCCTTTAGCTTTTCTTCTATTAATTTTATTAATTAACTATTTAGTTTATTTTCTATTCGAAATTTATCAAGTCATCAACTCATAGCTCTCCTCGAATCTTGACATCTCTATAAATTTTTGACAACGAACAAAAAAGCTATATAGGTTTATTCATCTAGTATTATATTCTATGCAATTTTGTCATCTTGATAATCAGATGAGAATTTTCGAAGAAGCAGTAACATATTATATGGTGTTTAAAAAATAACACTGCACTGATATGTGTGGAAAATATGTGGAAATTTTTATTGGAATTATGGTGATTTCATCAGCCGAAACAGGCTGCGCAGTGATACGATGATGGCGGTAGAGGCTTAGTCGCGAGAGAGAGCACTAAAAATACAAGATCGTAGCTTACTATATTTTGCACCTTACACTCCGTCAAACGCCCTCCCTCCATGGAGAAAAGGGCGAGACGATTTATATACAAATTTTTCACTAGTTGGGCATAGACATTAGACGACTAGAGGCTACATATTAACTATAACTATTATTATTATTACTGCTATTATTAATCAGTTATTACGAGTAACAGAGATCTTCGTTGTTACTTTAACGCGCGGCGTGGGGTTCCGTCCCGCGCGATCGACCAGTGTTGTTCGTTCGTTATTCAAGAGGTTTCTCTAGCGTTGCAAGGATAATAAAAGTTACAGTCGTAAGGATCGGATCGTCGTTGCGTGAGCGATAGTGGACTCCGTGATCTCCTGGAATGAGTGCTTTCGTTTCTTATCTTCATCAAAAAAGGGTGCAAAAATTCAAGTAGAAGGATTTGTCAAAATTATATAAATAAAATTGTTTTAGATAGAACAATAGTCGGCCAACTTTGAACTCAAAGTTTTACTCGAGAATTAGAATAGCTTCAAATGAGAGAACATTTGCACGCGCGTACGATGTTAGGGAACATTTTTGCGAAATCGAAAATCTGTGTTTTTCTTCGTTTTATTCATCTCGAAGAGCGATTGCTCAAAATTGCCGAAAGCACTTGCTCTACGTTTAATTGATGGAGCTCAATAAGATCGCACCGCGATTCGAGCATACGTTTTAGGCAAATAGAGAGTTCTATATAATATTAAATATAGTTAGGCGCAGAGAGGCAGCAAAGATAACGCAATAGACGTAAGAGAATGATAGGGAAATGGATTTGTTAGTGAGGAGGAAAAATGGTAGCAGGGTTGTTTAGTCAACATTAAGCGGGATTGGGTGGTGAACCGTGCCGTGGATGTTTTTCGCGCACTCAGGTCAATTATCCGCAATATATTCGAAACTGCGATGGACCAAAGAGCTTTTTATCGACCCTTGTAGAATATTTATCCCAAGAGAAAGGACAAAGATGTGTCTTCTGTGGAGAAATCTCCCGCGAGTCTCAAAACCCTAGGATATGCGGTGCCAATGAAAGAACATTGATCTCTTTCAATTCAATTTTCATTATTCGTATCAAACTTTAAAAATATATAAAAATCTATTGTCGATTAAAGTAATACTTAGCGGACAAAATATTTGTTAATTCGTTGATTAATTATCGAGATTGAGACAAAATATCGATTATGAATTAAAAAGGCAATAAGTGATTTGTATTTACATATTATATAAAATATTTCAATTATAATATTTTAAAATGTTATTAATGAAATATCTATATATAAATGTAAGAAGATGATTTGTTATTAGAAATTTTTCATTATAGCTTTTCTCTCAAAGTACGAGCTCGTAATATAAATGTGAAAAACTTTACTTAAAACTCTTATAAAAATTACAATTTTTATCTCTCCGATTATATTATAAAGAATGTTTCGAAAATATATAATAAATCTTTTTCGTTTCAATCGAAACTTTGGCAATATAAAAATCGTAGAGATAAAATTTAATATGTATAATGTTTAAATATATGAAAAATATGAACTTATCAGAAATAAATTAGTGTACGATATTTTAATAATTTTACGATAGTTAATTCTCATATCAAATTAAAATCGAGATAAATTAGACCAGGCAATTATTAAATCTAAATGTAATGTAATATGTATGTTACAAAAAAATTGCACAGCATTTAAAAGATCTAAAGATGCCTTAAAATCAGCTTCATAAAGATAAGGGCTATATTAAAATTTAAAATACAACAAATATATAATAATGAAAGAAAACAAAAAACAAAGCAATGTAATGATATTTAGAAAAAGATATCGTGTTCACACTTTTTTACAAAAAATACATTAGATATATATAATTTATCGTAATATATAAAAATATACATATACATAATTTATAATAATATATAAACACTTGTTTTATACGCCTTTTTAATTACAAACATTGAGAGATTCGTTTGACTTACTACAATTTCCAGGTATCTCACATGTAATCATAATCCAACGTTCTTGGTAAAAGATTAAGGCACCAAGTATTTCTGGGATAAAAGAATTTCGCGTGTGCCCCGTCAGGTCAATTATTATCCGCAATATTTAAAACTTTGATGGACCAAAGAAGGATGATAGAATTCCTTAAGGACCCTAGAAAAATCGTGCGAAAGCGGGCGGTCACGGCCCGGTTCCACAATGGGTTGTCTAAAATTCATTGTTCAACGTGTGTATGCGATGAAACGACGGAAAAAATTTATGGGGGTGGGTTTTTACGAAAAAAGAAAAACCAAGAAAAGTGCAAAAAGGCAGCGGCTAGACAGCTTATATCGATTTTTAGAGAAAGAAAGAGGGAGAGAGAAAGGCAAGCAAATATATAAATATAATAATTAAATACACTCACATTTGATAATCACTGAGAGGCTAAGACTAACTCTTTTAATTAAAGAATGGGAGGCGAAAAAGGATTGTCGTTTCGAGGGGAAAGATCACTGAGAGAGAAAATGCCTGCAGGTCGTTTTGATGAATAATTTTTCGAAAACATTTGTCTGGGGATGTTGCAATTTTTTCTCGAATTTAAACGAGTCGATTTTTAACAATCGAATTAATTTATCGTCGTCGTTGCTGTTGCTTCGCGCGAGACCTGCAGAGTTCTCGTCGGTGTGCGATTTTTGAAAGTTGCAATTTTATCAGTCTGTACAATAATAGCTTTGGTTCACCCTAGTCGATGTCTGCGTGAGAAGCACGAAAAAGGGTGTGAGAATTGGAGATTTATCACTTCTTCGGCACGACTCTTATCGTTCTCACATTTTATTTTTTCTTCCGTGCTATTTAGAAAATTTGCATACACCAAAGGATTATGTGCAGTCGTGTATAAGTGTATATATACATACATACACGCGTATATATATATATATATTTATGTAGTACATATAGTTTATACATATATATAAATTAAAATATTATATTTACCATCTTTGAAATTTAGCGTGACACTTTTCCAATCTACAGAATGTTTCTGACCAATGTTTGGAAAAATTTTAGAAACACTCTGTATATAAAATTGTATATATAAAATTAAAACCAGTTTTTAATTTTTAGAATAAGTCTTAATAGAACTCTCTCAGGATTCTTTGAGATCTTTTAGTATCATCACACAACTGTTAATTCTATTTTCTACCGCTGTAAAATTTCACACAGGTATCGACGAATGTCCTATGATGGTTGTTAACGTTATCACATCCTTTTGTGGCAATCAAGGCAGTTACAGAGAGCACTTTGCGACACGGAACAATAGCACGTGAGCAGATCGGTCAGCCTCGAATTCAATCTAGATTCCTTGCCGGCATCTAAAGGCTCGTGATCAGCATAAATCGCTGTTAAAATGCGATGAATATTTGCAGCGACTGATCTTGAGATCCATTGTTCAAATTTATGGTGTTTAAAGGGAGGAGAGAAATTCGCTCACGTTCGTTGCCTTCTCGATGTTGTTGAACTTTTAGAGTTAAGGTTGTTAAAAAGCGCTTTCAATGGTTGCCAATCGTAGAGAAAGGGGAGGGGGGCTTTTGCGAGAGAACTAAGGGTACAAAAAAAAAGATATATAGCATCAAGTCCCCGTATATTCGTACAAAATTAGTGTTCAAATTTTAAGAAGTGTTCATAGTAAAGTGAGAGAGATGTCGTGTTGCGAGGGATCAATATTTTCACGAGGCCGGCCGCTACATCTGCAACACATGTTACATACTGTTCACGTTTCACTATCAAAATTTCATTTCTCGATCCTCGAAATTTATATACGAATGTTGTTTCGTATATTTTATTCGTATAATAGATAATATCCTGAGTATATGTACGTGAAGGAATTGTGGATTCTACCTTCTAGTATGTACTCTAGATTTTTTGTTAATATTTGTTAAACTGTATATATATATTGTGCGAAATTTTATAATATCGTTGTATCTTCAAATTTTATTGCTCTAAATTTTATTGCATTTTTATGTATATGTAGATATACATATATAATTTATATTATTAATTATTAACATAATTGTATCGCGTGCGAAAAGAAATTTTTGTTATATCGTATCAAGAAATATCTGTTATAGAAATCGGGAAATATATATATTTTCGTGCGTCTGCAACTGCCTCTTACCTGCATCTCGAGGAAAGTGCAAGATTGCTATTAGTGTGTTGCGCTTTCTTACGATCGTAACTTTCTCACGCTTTCATCGCGGGTGCGATGGTTTCGTCGGTGAGTTTCGAACATGTTTAACTTGACATGTTTTAATGGATTTTGTTGAAAGACGGGGAGGAGAGTAACGGATAAGTTGGGAAA